CGCTTAACCGACTGAGCCACCCAGGTGCCCCCAAATTTTAAAATGTTACACACTCTCAGGGGTGTCTGGGTGGCTCAAGTGGTCAAGGTCTGACTCTTGGTTTCGGCTCAGGTCAAGATCTTAGGGTCATGAGATCGAGTCCTGCGTCGGGCTCTGTGCTCAGCTTGGAGTCTGCTTGAGAGTCTCTCCCTCTGCCCCTCGCCACTGACCCATGCCCGCACACTGTTTTCTCTCTCTCTCTCTCAAATAAACAAATAAATAATTTAAAAAATAGAAATAAAAATGTTAGTTTCAAAATATCAAAAACAGAAACAAACAAACCCCACGAGGCACAGTGCCCAGAGAGCAGCTCCCCAGCGGTGCTGGGACGAGGCCCCTTGCCAGTCCAGGGGGTGGGCGTGGGGGCAGTGTGCGCGTAATGTGGGGCTGGGGGCCCGAGGTCAGAGTCAACGTCAGGCCTCATGTGGAACCACCCTCGGGACGCGTCGGACACTGACCGCTGAAAGGCCGCGGCTGCCGCAGCCCGGGCCCAAACACAGAGGCGCAAAGGTGGAAGGAGCCATCCCTGTGGACAGCACCTGAGACCAGGTGACAGCTCCGCCGGGATTACCGCCATCGAAGTGCTGCCAGGGTGTTTGCAAGCGGCGGGGCGCCAGCCGTGCCCCAGGGCTCAAAGAGCCAGGGGGCTGCACACTCCCACCCCCCAGGGCACAGAACAGAGTCGGGAAAGAAGGGTAGAGGCCACATGGACAGAGGCCTGGACGAGCTGTACAGAAGCCCACAGGTCAAGGTCCTGAGGTGGGAACAGGTCAGCGTGCGCAAGGACAGCCGGGCCGGTGACCAGCCCCGAGATGAGGTCAGGGCGGTCAGGGCCACACAGGCCACGGAGGCAGGGGAGGCAGGTGGGATCCGGCCCCGTCTGCAGCAGCATGGATCTCTGGGTGGACTGGACACGGTACCGGAGACAAGGGGAGGGCCCACAGTGCCTGCTGGGCTTTGGCTGGAACAGCCGGGCAACATGAGGTGCTCATTTCGGGCAGGTGGGAGGACTGGGTAGAGGGGGGCCCGGTGTGCAGCTGAGGCCTGAGACGCCCACTAGGTATCAGGGAGGTACAAGGCACTGGGCACTTTCAGCAGAGAGAGGTGGTCAGAGGCGGGGCCCCATGGGAGCACCAGGAGGACGGGTGGGCGGAGCAGAGCCCGGACTGAGGCGGGGACCCCTGTGGGCCGAGGAAGCAGCAGGGGAAGTGGGAGGGAAACCAGGAGGCCAGGCTGGAGGCCGAGCAAGGACTGCATTCAGGAAGAGGGTGCACGGCACGCTTCTGTGGGCCCCCCTCTCAGGAAACAGGGAGCTCCCACGAGGACCAGCCCCAGCGGACCCATGGCCGGTGGGACTCACCATCTCGGGGCAGCCGACGACGTGGAACCTGCACGGGACTCGGCACTTGCCGCACGCCCTGACGTGGTCCTGGAACTAGAAGGACAGACGCTCTAAGTGCCTTTACTTTCTCTTCCCCACCTGTGCACGCTTTAGTCTCCCGCTGACGAAACCTGACAAGCCCGTTCCAGAGCAAAAGGTGCACAAGCACGCACACACACACGCACGCGCAGCTGCCGACAAAGGGAGGTGGGTGCAGGCCGAGGGCCTCACACTGTGGGCCAATGTCTCAGAACACCTGCAGACACCCTGTCCCGTGCTCGGGCCTCTGCGCCCCGGACTCTCTGCCACAGCTCCTAAGACACGTGGTGTCCGAGGCCCCAGGGCCTTGGGAGCAAGGAGGGGCCGGCCTGACCAGGGGTCGGACACCCACCACTGACCCAGCGTGGCGCTGGCACACGACCACACAGAGCCCCACAGAAGAGACGCAGAACCCAGAAAGAGAGAAACTACACATGCGCTGGGCGCTGACCCAGCAGCCCCTCCTGCCAGCAGACAAAGGTGGATGACGGCTCTCCGAAGGGGGCGAGGGCAAGGGGCAGCCACGGGACCACTTAAGAGAGGTCCCTCTGCCTCCATGCACCAGGGCCCTGGAACGACAATCAGAGCTACTAACGCCAAATGGAAACACAGACAAAACATTAAACTAAGTAAAAGGACAAGGGACTGTGACGCAAGCTACCCAACACCTAGAGTTCCGAAAACAGAGAAAAGAAGGACTAAGATTCTCTCCCCACTGCAAGAAATGGGCAGGAGTCCCCAGTGGTCCCCGGGCCCCAGTAAGAGAAACACAGGTGAGCCCTAAGCAAAAAGCCCCAATGGATTCATGATTTGAGACGCAAACTGAACCTCCTGGGACAGTCTTTCTCCGTCATCACATGGCGAGCCCCCAAGGGTGTCACCACACCTGCTGGTGGGGCAGGGACCAGCACTCTGACCTGCCAGCACACTGTCCCTGGTTTTCACCCTGGATCCACACAACCGTTTTACAAAACTACAAGACAATTTGCTCCGAAAGGGCAATTTTCAGAGACTCGAAAGCAGAGAGACGAAGGGCAGCCAGCTTACCACCGAGAGTGCCTCCCAGGACCGCCAGACGCAGCAGCCCGACCGCACGTTCCGCAAGAGCAGAAGGAGCCAGAGACAGGCCGCCAGCCCACGATCAAGGACTGGCGTGGGCAGCGGTGGGGCTGCGTCTGGCAGGGACACAGCACCTACAAGCCCCCAGGCTGAGATTAGCAGGACCACGATGCCCTGCAGCAAGAGGAGCTACAAACCCGGACGCCAGGCAGAAATCATAACCACAACTACCAGTACGAGCCACGACGCGGTTTCTCTTAAAATGGAACGTGAGGGCGCCTGGGGTCTCGATGACTCTTGGTTTCAGCTCAGGTCATGATCTCAGGGTCGTGAGATCGAGCCCCACCTCGGGCTCCCCGCTCGGCGTGCAGTCTGCTTGTCCCTCTCCCCGTCCCTCACCCCATCTGCTCGTGGGCTCACACTCTCTCCCAAACAAAATTAAGAAAAAAAGGAGCACAGAGTCCCACTGCCACCACCAAAGTGTTCTGGATGAAAGGCAGTGCGTGGGCAGGCTCTGGGCCGGGGTCTCAGGCGTGTGTGACTTCAGGCTGGGTCATTTCCACCTCCCGGAGTGTCGCAAAAAAGCGACGCACAGGTGACCCAACCCTCTCGCCACAAGCCGTCGCTTCTCCTTCGGGCACCGGGTCGGAGCCCCGCACCACGGGCACGAGCTCCTCCCCGCCCCCCCGCCACCGCCCCCACCCACCTGTCCCCGCAGGCGCCAGCAAACAACTTACTTTCTCCCGTGAGATCTTCTTCTTGCCGCAGCCATCGCAAGTCAAGGGGAACTTGGGGCAGACCTCGTGGTGTGCCTGAAAGACACGGTCAGGGGCCGGGGTGTGTGGCGAGGTCACCGTGCCGTCTCACGGCCTCGTTCTGGGGCAGCGGTTCCCCTGGGACCTCCAATGGGGTGGGTCCTGCAGGAGGCGCTCAGAGGCATCAGAGAACCGCCTCTTCACCTGGCAGCTCCAGGGCAACACGAGAAGGACGAGCCAGCAGCGGTGACTTGGGGAGAACACTGCTGCAGGTCACCCTAACTGAAACCGGGCCACTCTGGCCCCGAGGAGCAAGGCTGGCGGGACGGACCACGGCCCTGCGAGGGGATGGAACGCCTCCGGGCGACACCCTGCCGCCCCGATGCACCCTGGCCCTCAGCAGGCCTCTGCACCGAACGGCTCACGGACGAGGGGACTGAGGAACGCAGCACTGGCTCCTTGGGGACGCCATCGGCCAACCGTGCAGCCCAGCTTCTTCAATGAATAGCAGCAAAGGAAAAGAAAGACACCCGCGGAGCACCATTAAACATAAAGAGACCCTGCAGACACGTCATCGAGAGGCAGCGTGGGGACAGATGCTCACAGACGTCAACAAACGTGTGCAGCGAGTGAGTCAGGGACAGCAGGGAGTCGCCTCAGAAGTAACAGTAACACATACGGCTCTCTAGGAACAAACATGCCCAGAAACGGTCTCAAGGGTTTTCAGAGAGAACGACACAAAGCCTGGGACCCACGCACTAGGCGTGCGGAGCCCGAAGCAGCCCGGTGAGTGCTGACACGGACACGCGCAAGCGAGGGTGGCATGTACGCGCGCTACTCTGTGTGCGCACATTTTTCTAAAATGACAACTCAGCTTTGCCTTCATACCCAACGCAGTTCCCCACCCAGAACCTTCTACGCAAGTGGCTGCGAGGAAAGGGCCGGAGGCATGCAGCGAAAACACCAAACCAGCCGCGACGGCAGCAGTCAGCTCCGTGCCGCGGTGCCAGCCCACAGGGCCAGGCTGGGAGCACGACCGGGCGCCCTCACCTTCATGTCCGCCCAGCAGCAGGGCGCCCGGCAGTGCCTGCAGCTGAGGCTTCTCTCCGGGCACTCGTGCTCCGAGTGGCGCTCCTTCTCCCCCAGGCGAACCAGGCCTTTGCACGCTGGGCACTCGGTCAGCATGAACGGGCAGTGTCCTTCATGGCAGCTCTGGCAACAAAGGGAGCAAAGTGTCGACAAAGCGCACAGGGGAGCCTGCAGGCTGCCACCCCTGGGCTCCGCGTGCGCAGAGATGGCCGCCCCGCTGAGGGCCACTGGGACCCTGCACCAACCCCAGAGTGCCAGATGAGGGGTGCCGCTCCACGTGCCAAGAATCTCATTCACTGCAATACCTGTGCTCCGGGTCAGAGACGGGTAGGGCTCAATTCGAGCTGGCTGCACCCCACCCACGTGACACCCCAAAACATCCCTCCCTGGGGATGCTCCAGAGTGACATTCAGGGACAATAGGACCACTGTCCAGACAGTGAGGGGGCCGCAGAGGGCAGGGACAGCGTGGGGTACGGAGAGGCAAGAGCAGAGGGAGGGCACTCCAAGGGGCGACAGAGCCCAGGCCCCAGGCGGAGGGCCTAGAGCAGGGCCGCTTCTAAGTGGACAAAAGGCCCAGGGGTGACAAGAGTCTGTGTGCTGGGAGGACAGGCCACAGCAGCCAGACTGGGAGCCCACCTACTTGTGCCAACACCCTCGCTGACGGCCCACACCGGTGGCGTGGCCAGGGAGGGTGTGGTGACCTAGGGAGGCAGGGCCCAGCCCAGGGCCCTCCAGCTGACAGCACCGAGGACGAAGGTGCAGGGAGGAGGGCGGGCATGCGCTGCCCCTTCTGGAGCCACAGAACCACATGCGGGTGGAAGTGGGAACCCAGCCGAACCCCGGCTGGTGGCTTTCCTGAGCGTGAGGAGGACGCTGTGGGAGGGGGCTCAGCGGCAAACGAGGGGAAGGTGGTGGAAGAAAAGATGGGGAAGGGCAGCAGGAAGGACCCGGAGCCCACAGCCCAACACAGCCTGCAGGCCCGTGGCAAGTTTGCCAGGAAGGGGAACTGCAAAGGGGCGCAGGGTGGAGGACAGGGAGCTCAAGGTTTGTCTGCTGTTAAGTGTTTTTTATTGTGGTAAAACATACACGACAAACTTTACCATTTTCACTGCTTTTAAGGGCGTCCGTGCGTTCACACTGCTGTGCACCATCCCCCCCGTCCGTCCCCAGAACACGGTCATCTTCCCACACTGGACTCTGTCCTGTTAAACCCTGTCCCCCCGCCCCACCTCCCACCCCCGCATCTGTGGGGCCGACTCCTCCGGCCTCCTGGGAGTTTCCAGTCACACACGGGATTGGTCCTTCTGTGCCGGGCTGACCTCACTCGGCACCATGTTAAGTTTTAGGCAGGACACGCTAGGGCACACTGGGGACGACGTGGAGCCTGCTGCAGAAGGAGGGGGAGGTCACTGTGAGAGAAGTTCTGGACTGGCCCAGAGCAGGAGGAGGCCCTCACCGTGGGCTCAGCACCTCCACAGAGGTCTGGGCGGGGGCAGCCGGGCCGCGATGCCCTCCTGAGGGACCGGGTCTTCAGGGCTCCCCCGGAGAGCCTGGTCGTGGCACACTTGAGAGGAGCAGGGAGGGCCTCAGACGTGCTGTTCCCGAGCGGGGGACACGCTGGCCGTGTCTCCATCCCGTGCCACAGGCTTGGCTGTTGGTGCCAAAGCCCAGCACTTCCAGAGGGAGCAGAAGCAACGGGTGAACTCCAGAGACGCAGCGCACGTGCGGCGCCCTTCCCGCCAGTCTTCCCGCGTGCAGACCGCGGAGTCATGGCAGGTGGGGCCCACACCTCCTCACGGGACCCCACACCACGAGCTCCCAGAGCAGGCACCCCTGCCCTCCGACCTCCCACGGGCTCACACCCCAGACCAAATGCCACACTCCCAGCAAGCCTCCCCGGGGACCCCACGGCAGCCCCGCAGAGCACCCCACAGGCTGCCACGCGAGGTCCGCTGTCGGAAGGACGCACACCAGGCAGGCCGTCGCCGCACGACGCCCCGGACACTGTGGCCCAGCAGAGGAGCACCCCCACACTGTTACTGCAGTCTGCTGGGCTCCCTGCCGACACGGCATGGCCCCCCACAATCCGCCTGCACTGCAGCAGAGCATAACCTCCCGGAACCCCCAGGGGCTGTGGCAGAGGGACCGCACAGCTCACCATGACCCAACGGTAGGCCGCGCCTGGGCCACACCGAGTACGTGATGAACAGTCACAGTGAACCAAGGAGGAGTCTCAGAAATGATCACAGCTCACAAAATGGAAAAGATCCAGCACCCACAGTTAAGGTGCTGGGTTTAATTAAGACTGTTGTTTAACGCACGATAAAACACTCGCAGGAGCGACGTGGGGGCGCCCAAAGCAGCACAGAGCGGGCAAGGGTGCACAGCGCTCTGTGACCGCCCCCCCGGCGGCGTGTCTGACATCGGAGACCCGCACGCCTGTCACCCCAGGGCCGCCTCTGAGCAGACACACAGCACCTCCTCACGGGCTCAGAGGGACCACGCTCGCGTCGGCTCCAAGAGAAGCACACACTTTGGAGAAATCAGTATTTATTCAACCAGAATTCACACCAAGTGTCCCCGCGCACAGAGCTGTGCTGACTCTGAACTCACTGGGACGTGTGGGATGACTGAGCATGCCTGGCTCGGCCTTGCCTTTCAACTGCGGCCTCCGGGCACCTAGGTCTCCCCTCCGGGCCCTTCTCTGGAGAGCCTCCCCCCGCTCTGCCGCCAGCCACAGGCTCTAGGCCCAGTCCCAGAGCAGCAGCCGGGGGCTGTGCCCTGGGGCACCTTCAGCACTTGGCAGGCGCTCCACAAATGTCTTTGACCTGACCTGGAGTTCTAAGTCACTGCATTCTTAGAAAATACTAGACATTGTCGCAAAGGAAAATCACACTCAAAGGCTAACCAGGACTTTCCAAACAGCTCAGCCACAGCACAGCATTTCACAAGGCCACCAGGAGCTCGAGCACCGCAAAGGGCAGCCGTGTTGGCTCGGAGTGGAGGGTGGGCGTGCTCGGAGGCCTTGGTCTCGCCCAAGCCCGTGACGTTCACAGCCAGGGAGAGGTTTTACCAAAGGGCAGGCCTAGTGTCCCAGAGCAGCGCCCGCCCTCCCACATGACCAAACCCACCCTCTCAGGGACTTTCCGGGGCTCTCCGGGCCAGCCAGGGACTTTCCAGCCTGCATGCCTGCAGGGCCATGGCCGAGCCGACAGGCTGGCTGCGGTCCCTGGCCCTCAGCTGGAGGCCCATGCAGCCACCGCCTGCCCGCACCACGGGCCTGGGGGCAGCAGAAACCAGTCTCCCAGAGTGGAAGGTGGGGGTTATCCCGCCTGTCCCCAGGGGGGTCTCTGGGTCCCTGCAGAAGGCAGCACAGCTCCCCGTGCCTACTCCCTGTGCCCCACATGGTCTCCTACACCCACCCAACCCCCAGAGCCTGCTGGGGCTCTCCACCCTCCCAGGAGAGACCCCAAACCCAAGGCCTACTCTCTGGACAGCCCCAGGCAGCAACAGCTGTAACAGCTGCAAAGCAGAACCTCCCACCTGCATGTCTGCAGCCCAGGGGCCTCTGGGTCTCACTCCTAGGAAGGCATCAGAAAGGGCGTGGGGAGCCCAAAGGTGCTTCACTTCTAGGCCTCAGGTGCCCACTGGAAAGAAAGTGCCTCTCCTTGCCTACCCCACCAGAGGCTCCTCCCTAGACACGGCCAAGCTGCTCCTCTGGAAACACAGCTTACAGCCTGAAGACCAGAAGTCTGGTTGGTCAAGAGAACGAGGGAAGTTCGGCACACAGGCTGGGAGCAGGAAGGGAGAAGGCTGCTAGGAGCTCAGGTCCCACTCCCAGCCCCGACGGGCCCTCCGCCACTATCACGACTCAGTGCCCAGCGCCTACCTCATGGCAGGGGCTATCCCGGGGTTGGGGCAGGAGCGTGCCTGAGCTTAGGAGAGCCAGGGTTCCATACCAACAGCCCCTCCAGCCTCACCAACAGGGCTGTCCACTGTGAGAGGCCAACCTGCTACTCTGCACCACTCCCACCCTCCCGCCCGGGCAGCCACCCTGCCCCTTCCTGCCTCGCTGGCCCTCACAGGAGTGCACTCCCACAGGACGTGTCCTCGAGGACGGGCTCACTTCACTGAGCACAGTGGCCTCAAAGTCCACCCACATGTCTGGACTTCCTTCCTTCCTTCCTTTTTATGGCTGAATACTATTCCGTGGTGTGTGGACAGACCACATCTGGTTTGTCTCTTCATCTGCTGGTGGACACCTGGCTACCAGGACGTTTGTATGCCATAACCGTCTGAGGTGTGCTAGTTAAGAAGAGGGGATGGCCAAATGCGTGAGCTATGGAGGCCGCCCGCTGTAGGCCTGGCCTCTAGCTGCCAATCATGCAGAAGCCCCCCCCCGCAAGGCTGACACGCCTCGGCAACATGGGCACACCGGCCCCTGCCCTGTCGCTGGCCAGGTGACTTTCTGTGACCACAGACCAAACGTGCAGCTTACTTCCGCAATTTCCAACGTCTGTACAATTCAAAATGAGAAAGCCCTTGTCTGAAAACACACGGAAAGATCCCACCGAGCAAAGAAGCTCCTTTCCTGCACATTCCGGGGATGCTGCAGCAGCGCCCTCAGAGCGAGCACGGGGTCTGCCCCCCGCCACGGCACTCTGCCGAGCAGCAAACTGGGCCCAGCGAGGTAACTCCCCCTTCTGCGGCACGATCCCCCTAAGTCTGCGCGCACCTATGGGGAGCAGCTAGGCGCTCCCTGGCGGGCTCGTGGACACTCCGTGTGATCATTTTGGGGGTGGGGTTCAGGCTCGGGAGGCCGTGCCAGCGCAGGGGGCCCCTACCTCATACTCTTTAAGAGTCCCCTTCCAGGTGCAACCGTCGCTGGGACAGACGGCCGGCAGGCTCTCCACCTCCCTGCGTGCAGCGTTGTCTGGGAAAGCCTGAGGAAAGCATTCCTAGGGTTAGGCCGCCTCCTCCCAGCTGCCCGCCACCCTGCCCGGCCACCAGTGCTGCAAGTCTTCCAGACTGAGGCCCAGGACCAAGACGCTCTCTCCCAGCGCTCCAAGCTCTCGGCATGACCGTGGCAGGGAGGGGCGCATCCTAGTGCTCAAGCTCCACACAGCCATCGGTGTTGTTAAAAGAAACATTTTCCGTTCACTGTGACATTTTTTGCTTGAAGACTTTTCACTTACCGAACCACTTTCCAAAATGGAAATGCCTTCTTCATATATGCCCTCGTGAACACAGGCAGCGCAGTTCTGAGGCCCGGAGCTAGTGAGGAAAGGGGGAAAGGCCCACCATCAAACCCGCTGCAAAGAACGCTGTGTGCAACTCTCCACCCGAGTTCTGCGCCTTCCGGACCGACACCGCATCACTCGGGAGCACGCATCGACGTACCACGGTGAAAACCTTTAAAATGAGGGATATGATCCAAACCCTCTAATCATGACGATCCCTTCCACTGTGAACAGAGGTGCTCTCTGATGGCCCACCACTCGGGGCCAGGTCCCCAGGAAGGAGCTGCTGGCTCCCTGCGCCCACCCCGGCCCTCCATGTGCCACAGGGCCCCGCCCTCAGACTAGAGGCTGCGGGCTCTTGAGAACGTGTTCATCATCTGGAGTAGCACATCCAATGCAAATGGTCTTGGGCCCACGTGACAAACTAGGAACAGCCGGGCACGGACTGTAATGTGTTTATTTCAGCCCCCCACGTCCAACCCATCCTCTTCCGTTACTAACTTCACGCTCTTGTTTGCAGCGAACCTCTGCCATCAGGGAGCATCACCTGGAGCACAGCCCCTGCGGACGCGTGCGTGCCTGGAGCCGCCTCCCTGGACAGCAGAGCCCCGAGGCGAGCCCCACTGCCTTCCACCCGCGCGCAGTACCTCAGGATGCTGGTCAGACAGTAGGAGCAGTAGCGGTGGCCACACTGTGCTTGGAAAGGCCTGCGCAGGACGTTCCTGCAGGCCGAGCACAGGTACTTGTCCTCCGGCTTGGTCCCCAGGAGGGTCTTCGAGAAGCCAGGCTGCAACAAGTCTAGGGAGCCCGGAGGGGTCACGCTGGCTGCAGCCATGAGAGCCGCAAACCGCCACGGCCTAAGGAAGAACACAGAGCACGTCCTGGAGAGTCCTAAGAGGTGCCTCAACTCCAGGGTCCTCCTCTAGGGAAAACAGCCCTTGCCCGGCGGTGAGCTGTCTGGGTTGTCAAGCTAACGGTGGTCAAGAATCTGAGAAGCAAGATTTTAGTGCTCTGGAGAACTTGGAGACAATCTAATCCGAGTTCCCACGACACGCGTGGAAGCCAAGGCTTAGCCAGGGGTTGCACGAGCACACCTTCCCAAAGCCTCTAGACCAACCGGCTGTTCTCAAGGTCACCCAGCCTACCATGGACACAGCGTGTGCCGGCATCGGAGGATGCCACCTTCCCACCAACACTGGCCATCCGCAGTCCTTGATCCTTGTGCCTTCCTGTCTAGCCCAAGCTTCCTACAAATCAGCCGGCAGGAAATTCTGACCAGCTGTGCTCGGTCTGAGGCAGTAGCCAGGAGGTGGCCACCCTACACATCGGCCTCTCCAATGTCACCCCTGAGAGGAAGCACGTAGCCCGCTTGGCACCACTGCTCTGCTCCCCGGCCACCGTCACCAGGGTCCCTCTCACTTGAGAGCTGCCCTCTGCTATCCTCCAGGCCTTGGCAAGGCCCCGGAGGCAAGGTAACCAGGACGCACAGCTGGATGGGGGAGAGGCTTCCACAGCGTTCTGAGACCTGGAATGGAACACACTGTTCAATGTACAGCATCTCAAAAGCAACCGTACCTGCTAACCCTTAAAAAAGGACAAGCACCCAACAGCCCCTGAACAGGAAGCACTATTAACTCAGAGCCACCCTGGCCCCTTTGCAAATGCTCCGAAGAGCTTCCTTCCCCAAATGCCCCGGGAAACACATCCCTGGGTCTTCTCCTGGATGTGCATGGGGAGCACACCAACTTCCAAACCAGGACATTCTGAAATGATGTGCCTCTTTCCTATGTCTGTAAGGCGCTCTTCCGTGTCCTGAGCCGCAGAAAGCAGCGACAGTGTGTCCCTGTTTCCTATCTACTGGGCAAAGCCACTTTCAATCAAGGCTCTGGATTTGTAATCTGTGAGGCCCTGCTTGGGCTGGCGTGCCAGAGCACACAGGTTATATTCTTATAACCTGCAATTACTCCTCCAACCACCGGACAGACGGAGGGTCGTGCCCACGGCCACTCAGCAGGACGGCACGAGTCCCACTCGCTGGTCCACACACTGTCAGCACGTGTGGGTGTGTCTGGGCCCCTGGACCATCCATCTGTCCCTCTGACAACTGGGGGATTTCATTCTTTCGAGCCCTCATGACACAGACATGTAAGCCCCAGAAAGTGCCACTTAATAAAGCCTTTGGTGGAAAAATTAACCCAAAAGTTGGAGAGCTCACGGATGCGCTAACAGTGCTAGCCAGGGCAACCGAGGAGGGAGGACGCCCTCAGCCCACATTTTTCAAGGCCATGTTCGTGCTACACACACGTACTGACTAGAATAAAGGACCCGTGAAAGTCTGCTCACTCTCAGGCATTCTGCACATTCTGTCTTTTTTCTGGTCACGCTACTAAATTGATTTCACGAACCATCAATGATTTGAAAATCACTGCTCTATAAACTACATTAGACAGACGTTTACCCTTAAATGATACTAGAAAAAAAAAAGGCACACTCTTTAGATCTCTATTTTATGCTCAATTCATTAAGTAAAAAAGAGCATCACATATAAAGGACGCGAAATTTAGTCATGTTTTATACGGACAAGGAAATAAAGTAAAATAAGAAGCAAACACCATCATGACAGGGTACAAGGGTTATGGGGATGCTTTTCTCATTTTAAAACCTCACCGAACAGCTTCCCTCAGCATCTGTGAGACAAGGCTTTATTCTGTGGCATCGATGTTCCATCTACTTGAAGCCAGGCCCAGCTTTTTGGCCAACTGATCACTCCTGTGGCAGACTGAACTCATTTTACAAAGCCATCAACATGTACTCCCCTTAGATATAAAAGAACCACACAAATGGTCTCTGTTTCCGAGGGATGAAAAAGGTGAAAGGCCACAACACACAGCCAGGCCTCGATGACCTCACCAACACAACCTACTCAGCGGTCACAACTACCTGACAGCCGGACGGTGGGGGTCTGTATTTCTGTTCTGAATGTGGGGAAGTGGCCCTGGAGAGCCCAAGGAGCCCCCCACACCACACACCGGCCCATAGGTCCCACCACTGCCCATGCTGTGCTTTCGAGTTCCCAGCTTACGTCCTTAAACGTGTTGTTCAAATCTCATTCATACACATTTGACCTTTTGAAAACTAATGAAAAGACATCATAAAGACTCAGAAGTGTTGTGCCAAAATGTAACACTTTGAGGGACATCTGGGCGGCTCAGTCGTTAAGCATCTGCCTTCAGCTCAGGTCATGAGCCCAGGGTCCTGGGATCGAGTCCCATGTCGGGCTCTCTACTCAGGGGGGAGCCTGCTTCTCCCTCTCCCTCTGCCTGCCGCCCCCCCTGCTTGTGCTGTCAAATAAATTTAAAAAGTTAAAAAAAAAAAAAGTAACACTTTGAAGGCCATCAACACTAAGTCCTGCTGCTGCGTTGTGGTGCTTGCCCCAAGCCTAGGAGAAAACTTCCCTGTCTCTGGCCCTGAACTTCTGAACTTCTAGGTGGTCTGCACACGTCCACCCGTCCGAAACTACATGGGGCCTGGGGGCCTCCCTGGATGACGGGCGCAGCCAGCAGCACCAGACGCCAAGGACACGGGTGGGCCAGCCCGCTACCGCATGTAGGAGAACAGGAGTCAGGAGTTATGAGCACCCCAACCTAGAACCAAAACGCCCTACTGGTCCTGTCAAGCTTCCAGATCCTCTCGTGGGTAAGTTGGTTATAAACATTTGCAATGATTCGTGGGAACGTGTGAACAAGCATTCCCATTCAGCCTGTCCTGGATTTCATATTCATTCCCCAAAATCAAGCTTCAGACACAAATGCATGAACTTCGTACAACCAAGAGATTTGTGTTTTGTTAAAACGGCATTTCTACCAGACAGAAAACAGTATGTCCAGAATGGTTCCAGTTATCTGAAGTTTGAGGACAGACAAAACTAGCCTGTGATAATAGAAGCTGGGAAGCAATCCCCTTTGGCGGCATGGGGCTGTGACACACTGGAGACTCGCTCTTCTTCCCTGTTCCTGGAACAAAGCTCCTAAAACCCCTGGGACTTCCCGAGCCACGGGGACAGGGGAGCCTGTTTTTCATAAGCCCCTTCCACATCTGCCCCCCACGGCCAGGGAGGGGGGTGGGACTGGAGATTGACCTAATCACCAATGACCAATAATTTAATCAACCACGCTTTCATGACGGAGCCCCCATAACCTCCTGAAGAATGAGGCTCAGAGAGCTCCACAGTGCCGAAAGGAGGGTGTGCTGGAGGGCATGGAAGCTCCGCGTCCCTGTCCCACACCTTGCCCTGTGCATCTCTGCCATCGGGCTGTTTCATGGAATTGGTGTTTGCTGGAGTTCTGTGAGACACTCTAGAAATCACTGAACCCAAGGAGAGGGTCCCAGGAACCACATATTTGGTGTCAGACGTACCGTGAGTAGAGAAACACAGCCATTTTCCATTCAGGGGGTCAATGCTTGCAAGAGGCAGGAGGGGGCCTTTTGGGGTGCTGGAAATGACCGTATACGTAGACAAAAGTGCATCTAGCTGTATTCTTAGGATTTGCACATTTTGCTGGATGTATGCCTCAACTTCAAAAAAAAAAAAAGATGGAATTTCTATTCCCAAAGAGTCAAAAAAGGCCTTTAAATCCCTAATTATGGTACACCCATGCATGTTTATCCAAAATAACCCTGTCTCATGACATTAGAAATGGCAGAGCAACCTGAAAACCAGTTCTGACATGGAAGGGTTAGGGTTAGAGTGGGGGCATCCAGCCCCTTGACAAGCCCAGGTCCTGCGTCGGTGCGAAGCACGAGGACCCAGGGAAAGGGGCGTCCCTGCGAGGAACCACTGGCTGAGCTGGAGGCCACAGGGCAGCTGGCACCACCGTCCCCAGCCTGGGGCATGAGATGGGGTAGTGGTGTAAGTCCCCAAACTAACATCAAATGAGACATGGGAGCACCTGGCTGCCGGGGTGGGCATCACCAAGCCGCCAGCAGGCACAGGGGTTCAACCCTCAGCCTGTGATACCCCAAACGCCAGGGACTCAACTTCCCAAATTCACGTCCTCACTGACAGCCAGTTCTGTTTTGTCCAATACTGGGATGCCATGTCCGATTTTACCTGGTTCCACCCAGTTCCAACACACCTGCCTAACAAGCCCACTGAAGCAATATTCGAGAAGGCCAACCAACATGCAGCTGGGAACACAAGACAACCCCCCACCCCCCGCCACAGGACTAGAAATCCACTTTAAAATTATAATTTTATACTTCAGTTCATCTTTTTCCAAGCTCAGCATAATGCCAAATAGTAGCCTGGTACCAACTTCACGCCCAACAACTGTTTCCATCGTGAGCAGATACTCTGGGGGAGCGTCTCTAGTCCGAACTGCTGGCTCACATGTCTTCACACGATCTACACGCTGATACTGAGTGTCTATGATTCAAAACTGGGGCTCTCAACAGGGACAGGGTGATCCGTCAGTCATGATGCAGCAACTCTGTCCCTTCTTCCGCCTGACCCAAGTGACCGCCCTGCCCCCCCCGCCCCTCTCCCTGACCTCTGTCAGTGCCCGCACTTCCCCCTGCCCCGAGAGCTGGCAGCCCATCGGCTGCTCCAGCCACACTCTCAGAGACCACTCTCACTCATCCACTCACCTTGAACAGCTCCGCCCTCCACAAACACCCAGAATCTGACCGCACTGCGACTGCTGGGCCCTGGCCGCCGTCCACCGCGACCTGATACACAGCCGCAGCCTCTCGGGGCCCTCCCGGCAGCCACAGGGGCCTTTGGCTGGGACTCAGTTACTCTACCCTCACATCCCAAGGCTTCCCAGTGGGTCTGCCCGCCACCCTGCCTGTCCAAGAGGTCGTGGCTTCTCGACAAGGCCTTCCTTCTCAGCGGTCATGAGACTGTACTGTGCGGGCCTGTCTCCTCTGGATAATAAGCTAAGCACCAGGAGGTAGGGCCTGGGAGGGCAGGAGGAGGGACCCAGGCCTGTGCATGGGGCGCTTGCCACCCCAGGCTTCCCAGGCTCCTCCATGGACTCCTACACACCCATTAATCTAGCCTTTCCTCCACACCATTTCAGATGGGGCACCCCGATTCTGGAACCTGTACAAGCTGTCCCTTCTGAGGTACCCCCCTATTCTACCTCCTAGCCCCATCCCTGCTGAGTACTCACCTTCCTAAACCACAACCGGGTCACAAGACCACCTGCTCCACTTGCCCCCGGGGCCCTGCCAGGAAAGTGGCCTCAAGCCCGTTCCTGCTCAGACCCTGGACAGCTTCCGGAGTCTGCCTCTTGCACCCTCCTCCGAGGCTCAGACCCTCTGTGCAGGGGTGGGAGGCTGTGGTGGGACAGTGACATGTCTTCCCTGTGGACGCAAGGGCCAGGCCCCTTAGAGAGGGGCCCTCACCCATCCCCATGAAGGAGCAGGCCCAGTGCATGGAGAATGGCACAGCAAAGCACAGGCCTGGACTCCAGAACACAACGAAGATGTGCACCCCATTCCTGGCATCATGTGTGCAGTCCGGGGGTAATTTCTCTGGATTTTCTTCTCTGGACCTTCTTGCCTTTGCCTCTCCACACGTTCATGATGTCCTGCCGTGGACATCCACACGCCAGTGAGCTGACCACGCTGGTGGGAGGGTGGGCAGGCTGGCATTTCCCACTGCCAGAGAGGGACCCAGATCTGATTCTCCAAACACAAAGTGAAAAGGCCTTCATCTTCCCGGAGACAATGCTTTCTCCCAGAACAAGTGACCACTGTAAGTCCTGTGCTCTAGTCCCCAAATTATAACCACTGCGGCAACCTGCTCCTTTAGGTCCCCAAAGAAACGACGTTTACATTTATTTCCCCGGGGGAAGTTTAAAAACCACTCAATAGAGAGAGAAGCCCCAGCTGAAGGCCCCCTGCCCTTGGAGCCCCCAAGGGAGCCAGCAAGGCGTGCAGCAGCGAGGGGCACACACAGCCGCTGCACGTCTTTACAGGCTCCTGCCCTCCACTAGGCGCGGTGCTGAGGACACTGAGGCAGGTAACGGGCTGGGACCACACAGCACACTGCGGCCACAGGACGCAGAGGTCTGCGACGCCGCAGAGCACTGGAAGGATACGTGGCGCAGACTGCGCATGTCAGGAGGCACCTGCAAGCAAAAGTACCAGCACAGGGGCGCCCGGGGGCGTGGTCGGTTAGGTGTCTGATTCTTGGTTTTGGCTCAGGTCATCATCTCGGGATCCATCGAGCCCTGTGTCAGGCTCCGTGTCCCCTGCTGGAGATTCTCCCTCCCTCTGCCCCACTCCACCCCTGCTCAAGTGCCCTCACTCTCTCTCAAATAAATATTACAAAAAAAAAAAGGACCTGCACAGAGGCCCAATGTGCCCAACGTCCCAGTGCATGCCTTTGGGAGCTACGGCTTCGGGGAGCTGGGCTTTATTCTGAGAACCGGGCACCCAGGGAGAGGGGCCGCCCAGATGTGTGGAAAAGCCACCATAGAAGCACTGAGGGCCTCTGTGGCTTGCAAACGGCTTGAAGCTAAGCAACTCTTAGCGTTTTGTTTCAGATTCAAGCATTAGTGAATACTGTGCATGTAAATCATACTAGCAACGATGTGAGGTTGGTTGAGACTTCCACCTAAACCCCGCCACTGAGTGGACAGACACCACGGCCCTCCCACACTGCCAGGTTCCAGGTAGGACGTCTGCTCTCCCGCACACCGCTGTCCTGGGCTCTCCACTGCCACGGACCCCTGAACAGGCAGTTCTGAGTCGCCCCACTGCAGAGTCTGTACCCCAGTGCCGAAGGCCATCTGCACGTCCTCACCACCCACCTTGGGACTCTCACCCAGCTCCTGCAGACACACGGGACACCCCACCTGTACTCACAGGCGTCGGGAGGCCCCGGGGCTGGGACAGGCACCGTAACGGTGCAGGGGATGCTTGAACCACAGGCATTTGGCTCGGACACACACATTTTTAACAGCTCAGTGCTGTAAAGGTACCTCTGTCCCTTCTGGTTTTCTTGATACCGTTTTCCTTCCTCTAGCTGACTTACGGGAGGAGTAGGATGCACAACACACACGACGTACAAAATACGGGTTAACGGCCTCTCCCTGCTCCCCCGTGGGCTGTCAGTTCAGCTGCTAAGGAGTCAAAAGTCACAGGTGGTGCTCGCTGCTGCGGCAGGTGAACTACAGTCAGAGCAACCCAGCGGGGAGTGGCCGCGGCCAAAGACACGAAGGTCCGTGAAGCACTCTACCCGAAAAAGAAGTACGGGCTGCGGGCTGCCTTTCCCCTCCGCACGGCTTGGCGCCCAACCCCCGGACGTTCAAGGGTCAAGCGCAATGCAACTGACCCAGAAGAGCCTCCCGGCCCCGCAGCAGGTGGCGGGCAGAGAGGGGCGAGGGCGGGGAGCCGGGGCGAGCCGGCGCGACCCGCAAGCGCAGGGTCCGGCCCCCCACAACAGG